AAAACTCTTCACCTAATTTTCCATCTCCCTTTCTTTCCCCGCCCCTACATTCGCCTATGAACTCCGTAAATTCGAAATCATTTTTCAGTCAAGCCTGGGTCTCAATTATGCCGCCGTGAAAGTTTCGGCGGGAAAAATTACTATCTCAGGGGCAATAAAAGATAGAACGCTGAAGTTTTGGAGGAATGCAACCTCGCAGAATTAAGTTCAGCTTTCATTTGCTCTTGGGTCTCTTGTGCGGCCCGCGAAAGTTTTGGTGGGAAAAATTATTATCTTGAGGACTAAAAGAGCCTTGATGCTGGAACTTCAGGAGGGTGTTTTCTACCTGTGCAGGTATCTCACAAACTCAGATTCCGCTCACAGTTATGCAGAGGCCTTACGCATGACCACGTGAGAGCTTTGATGCGAAAGTCATTAGCTCGAAAGCCGGAAAACTGGGAGCCTGAAATTTAGAGGAATGTTCCCCATCTATGTTTTCAAATTCAGCTTACACGTATCGGCACTTGGAATTTTCAGTGGAAAATTCCTTAGCTTAGGAGCCAGACAGCATGTCTGCTAGTTCCCCACATGCTAAAGTGTAAAACAGTTATGTTTTTAGCGGGCCAACGCCCGTTGGACGGAAGTGCGCAAAACACATGATCACACTGGCTACCCAAGTGCGCTTCGCTATTTATTGTTAAAATTGCCGCTGTTGTTAATAATGGTAATATAGTGGTAATAATATATTACTGTATCAGTAATAATATTAATAATAACATTAATAATAGTATTACAGTAACAATCTTGTTATTGCTATTAATGTTACTACAAACATGATTTTTGAACAAGTAAAAGACTTAATAGGCACTAAATCATTGCGTCATATTTCGTTCTTTGAAGAAAAAACAGCTGTTTTTGCTTTCATTCGGATCCATCACACGTTCGCCAGCAATAAATATTCTCTTATTGGCGTTGCTTTTAACGATTTTCTATTCTGAGGATTCTCTGGGAAGCAAGCTCGTAATATATATCCAGCTGAACACTTCCGTTAAGGCTGTCAAAGTCCTTGAGCGCAGTTACGTCAGGCCTTCGGCCATGTGACCCCAACTTTAATACTTTGACGTATTCTCAGCACGTAGCATCATTGTCGGGGGTAGACCAGCAACCACTCTCATTCGCCAGATTTCAAACTGGTTGAATGCCAGTTAACAAATACCGCTGTACAAGAATCAATGAAATTGCCAGCTTATCGTACCTGCATGACGCCACTGAGGAACACGATTGCAGTGGCCACTTGTATAGGTTTCAGTTCCTCAAAATCCACGGAAATTTCAGTATTCGCAAAACTGAGATTTGTTACATTCTGAAGATCCACAAACAAACTCTCATTCAATAAACTGCTGTGTTCATCGACTGCCCCAACACTTGTTTCATTTCTGAGCTTGTAATAATGCAGCATCACTTTTTCAACAACCGAATGCGTCATCAAGGAAAGAACTGCAAAACCTCCTAAAAATGTTTCTGTATTCTGCTCGCTCTCAGAGTTTCGAGCAAATTTTGATCTGGCTTTTCGAAAAATTCTGATTAAAATCCACACAGCCCTGGCCGAAGAACCAGCACACAGATAGACCTATTGTACGAAGGTACATCAGTAATGTCAAGAACGTGAGATCACCAAAGTGACTGTCAGGGCTGTTTTTTTTTTGGCCCTAAAGATAAAGGGTCTAATTGAAAGAGTAGTTAAGCATAGGTTTCACGTAGAAACGGCCATTCGTACTATATTTGCATTATTTATTAGTTTATGTGTTACGCATTATTTTTTGTAATACAAAGCGCTGCAGTCGCGTAAAATTCTTAGCTACCATTTGCAACATCTGAATGAAGAAAAGTGTAATTTCAGCATTCTTTGAAAAATAAATAATCATTCTTTTTCAAACTTCAGTTCGATAAAAGCTTGTCAATGAAATATGGACATCCTGAGATTTGATTTTCACAAAAATAAAACCGAACGCTTAACCTTTACATTTACCGAACGCAAGCTTCCAGTACCCATGCTTGCGTTCGTCGATCTTAAATTTCCATTCTAACGACTCTAACCGGTCAT